TGTAAATATTCTAGTCTTTAACTTTCTAGCAAAATAACTCAAAAAACAAAACAACAACAACAAAAAAATCCTATGCCAGGCCTGGTGTCATGGGCCTATAATTCCAGCTGCCCAGGACCATTGCAAGCTCAAGATTTACTTGGACTGTGGAGCAAGTTCAAAGTTAGCCTGGGCAGCTTAGCAAACCCTGTCTCAAAAAGAAAAGTAGCCAAGAGGCTGAAGTTTGCTCACCTAGCAGGCAGTGGATTCAACCTCAGGACCACAGAAAGCAGAGACCATAATCATGTCATGATTCCTTAAAGCATTATCTGGGAAGGCACTGGGTTAAAGCCCAGCATGACTCAGCATCACTGGGGGAGTGCACATGACTCAGCTTCACTGGGAATCATCTCAGCTCAGTGTTTCCGTCCTCCAAATGAACCCTTACCCAATTACTTATTGTTGTCTGTTTGAGTTAGAATCTAAATCGGCTTGTTATTAATTAGCATGTTTCCTAAGTGACTCTGTCCCCCTCCCAGTATGGATGAGTGGCCTGTCCCTGGTCCCATCCTTGCTTTTCTGTGCCTCTGAATTGACTCTGTTGGAGATTCAAATCTTGTTGTTCCCTTGGGAAAGGGGCAGCAAGATTGTTTCTTAGAAGGTTCTGTACCTGCATCTTATGGTTCATGTGGAGCTGGAGGCTAAGGTGGGAGGATGGAGAGTTTGAACCAACCTGGACTCCAGAAAAGACCTTATCTCAATGAAGAATTAACAAACAATAAAAAAATAGTTTTCAGTGTCTTACAGTCTCTATTTTCATAGTAATGTATCCTCCTGTGTACTAGGAGTTGTAAAAATGGCCATACTCCCCTGTCCATTTTTCCTTCATTTACTAGCTATAGTGTTCTGTAACACGCCCCTTCTCACCCCTTCAGCTACCATCAGGAGAGGTTGACACTGGAGAGGATGAGTGTGTGCCTTTTATTTCCTTTTACAGACTGGTTTGCCAAGTAATGAGTCGTTTCCTGGTATCTTTTAAAAGGAATGAAAGAATGTGTTTGTGGGGCTGGGGAGATGGTTTAAAGGTTAAGAGCACTGGTTGCTCTTCCAGAGGACCTAAGTTCAATTACTAGCAATCACATGGTGGCTCATAACCATCTCTAATGAGATCTGGTGCAAGCTTACATGCAAGCAGAACACTGTACACATATTAAAAAGAAAGAAAGAAAACTTTTTAAAAATGTGTTTGGTTTTATTTTATTGTTAATCTTACCAAGGTTATGTTTTAATATTTTTATGCATTGGCAACATTTGTTTCTGATTAAATGTCTCTGTCTATTGGAAGGAGAAAGGTATCAGCTTGAGCACTTTCTACAGGACAGTAATTCCTTCTGAAAGCTGTCTTGCTGGAGATGGAGTTCAGTTTGTAGAGTGCTTGCTTAGCATGTGCAAGCCCTGGGTCTTATCTTCAGCACCACACAAAGTCAGGATGCATGTCTGGAGGAGCCAGGAGAATCATAAGTTCAGGATCGTCCTTGGCTACATACCAAGTTGAAGGCCAGTCTGGGATACAGAAGACCCTATCACATGCACAAAAGTCTCTTTATCTGTGGCAAGGGACATATTCCGCCTCAGACGTTACATTAAAAAAAGTGTGTGTGTGTGTGTGTGTGTGTGTGTGTGTGTGTGTGTGTATGTTTCCTTGGAGGCCAGAAGAGGACATTGGGATGCCCTGGAGCTGGAGTTGGGTGACTGAGCTGCCTGATATGGGTGTGGGGAATGGAACTCCAATCCTCTACAAGAACAGGGAGTGCACTTTACTGCTGAGCCACCTCCCCAGTCCCAGACCTCACATCCTTCAGTAGGGTTATTATTAGTGACCACAGTCTTTGTAGTAAAGGAAGTGGTTGTTACTTACAGTGGACAAAGATAGAAAATGTGCAATAAAAGGGTTAATCCATTCTACACCTTACTGAAATACAGCTTAGCGGTGTTTTTACCTGGCTTCCAGACCTTGCCTCCCTCCCCTGTGCTGAAAACCCTGATTGCAAGTCATGCCAGTGTCATTACAAATTGGCTCTACTTTCGCTGCTCAGAGCCTCAGGGTAATCACATAGACTGGTCAAGAGTGAGACTAGTGAAATGTGTTTGCTATTTTCCTTTGTTTCCCAGGAATTCCCTACAGCAGGCTGTGTGTGGCCAGACCACCAACGTTTTATGTGTGAAGTTCAGTCCTTTCATTTTGCTTTACATTTTTAATAATTCTTTTTTCAAATGGTACTTTATAAACACCAAAGTATCTACATGGTTGCAAAGTTAAATCTGTAAAACAAAATATTGATGATATACTGAGGTCTAACATTCCCTCATTCTCTTTTCCTGTGAATAATCATTTAAAAGTATGATTTATTCTTTTCCTTCTTGTGTCAGGTGTGGTGATGCACACTGGGGGTGTAGTCACACAGGTGCTTATAATTCCAGCATCTTCTGGCAGAAGCAGGAGGATCAAGAGTTCCAGGTCAGCCTGGGCTGCATTTGAGGCTACTGGGTTACCTGAAACCCTGTCTCAAAATAAAATGGCTTATCCTTTCTTCATGAGAGCATGTTTGTGTGTCTCTTCTATTTCCTTGGTAAAGAAGAATATCCTACAAATACTTGTTTTTGCTTCATAAAATGTGGCAGTCGGGCTGAGGTATGGATACATCCAGTGCTGCCATGAGGAGTTTGGATGCCTGGTACCGGCTTTAAAAGCAGGAGGTATGCTCAAGAGCCAATAAAACATCCGTGCTAGTGGCAGGGGCCAGTAGAGGATATCTGAGGGCTGGCTGGCTGCCAGTTATCCTGGCATCAAAATGAAGAACTCCAGGTTCAATGAGAGACCCTGTCTCAAGTCTTTAAGGCAGAGGAATAAAGAGGATACCTTCCTGGCCGCCTCCAGCACACGTTGCACACATACCTAAACACAATTTTTTTTAGTTGGCAGTTACCTTTTGGTTGCAAATACACATTTGTGATGTTGGCTCTGCTTCAAGGTGCTAAATACAGCAAACAAGTTTAGGGGTTTTGCAGGTCTGAACATGGAGGCTCAAGCCTGTAATCCTAGCACCTAAGAGACGGATGCAAGAGGAAAGTGAATTCTAGGCTAGCCTGGACTTCATTGTGAGACTTTGTCTAAAATAACAACAAAAAAGCTGTCTGTAGATTCATGTGACACATTTGATCTGTCAGGATACACCTCCAAATCCAAGGCCTAGCAGACTTGGCGCATAGGCCTATAATCCCAGGGTTTGCTTGAGAAGCTAAACCAGGAGGATCACCAGTCCCTGGTCAGCCTGGGGTGCATGGAGACTTGTATCAAAAACAAAGCAACACAACAAAATGAGTCCTGGTGGTTTCTCAGGCCTCCCTTGTGGTGTCCTCTCACACATGGTGTGCCCCAGGATGTGCCTTCCCCAGCCACTGCCTGCCACCTGCCCTTGACCTCCCTGGTGTGTTCTCAGCTCTGCAGCGACCAGTGCCCTTCACACCAAGTCAAGTCATGTCCTGCACTCAAAAGGCCCCACAAGATGTGAGGGCCAAGTCCTTCCCAGGGCCCAGACCCATCTCTAAGCTCTCTCCTGCCTCTTTCTTCACCCACTACACTCCAGCCTGTGGTGATATTTTGTTTATGATCTAAAAATTAAGCTTGCCTGAAGATCATAGTGCAAAGCTAGTCACACTAGTCAACCACTCAGGCCAGGCAGTGCTGGTGCACGCCTTTAATCCCAGCACTGGAGAGGAATATCAGGTGGGAGGAGACAGGAGTGCAGTATATTTAGTCTGCAGTCACGCTGAGGACAGGATCGCCCCGGCCTTGGTAGAGGTAAGAACTCTCTAGTGGCTGGCTGCTTTGCTTTTCTGATCTTCAGCTTGAACCCCAGTATTGGTCTCTGGGTTTTTATTATTCATGCTACACCAACCCATAGCTGCCCACTTTAGGGCCTTCATGCTGCTGGCCATGAGCTTCCTTCTAGAATTCTCAGTTCTTAAGATTCTTAAGTCCAGGATCACTGGCACCTTCCCAGGGAGCATTGCCTTTCCTGCTCCTAATGTCTCAACTGCCTGTTCCCATTCTTACCTCCCATTGTGGTACGGGAAACTTACTCTCAATACATGGATGTTTTTCACTAGGATGGGACTTCCACAGAGATAGGGACCCTCACCACGTTAGTTCACTGAAGTGTCCCCACTGCCTGTAAGCATAGGCACTCTGTAACTATGGAGTGTATGAATGGAAACCACAGAATTGGTGCTTTGTAAGTATGGAGTGAGTGAATGAAAATTTTCTGAACTTCAACTAAAGATAATTACTAAACCATGAGCCAGTGTTACATGATCATTCAGAGCCCACAGGAGAATAAGGCTGTCTTCCCACCACCATAGCATGCCTCAGGACGTGAGCAATGCCGAGGGCCAGTGGCCCTTGGCTGCCTTCATCAGAGAACTGAAAGGTAATAATAATGGCTTACTCCTTAGTTGTTGCTCACTGTGTTCATGAGCTCTACAGGGACTCACTAAATCATATCCATACAACAACCCAACAAGAGTAGTGTGGTTTCCCCATTTTAGAGGTAAACTAACAAAACATAAACAGGTTGTCTTTAACTGCCTATGGCTAAATATTTCATAAGCGACCCAGCTGGAGCCAGAGTCCCATAGGGTTCAGCTCTAGGACCAGGCTTTAACCCAGTACTATGCAGGACTTTGGGAGATGGTAGGTATGCTCCTTGTCTGTGGTGTTCAACTTAGTACCTCTACCACAAGTGGATACTGAGCACTTGACATGTGGCTAGTTACCCTCAATTCCACTTTAATTACATTTAATTAAATTAAATTCTAGAGTCTTAACTAGTTTTCGTTTAAACAAGAACTCATGGCTGCTACGTTGGGGCTCTGTAAACATGACTGGCAGAGTGGCAAAAGTTTTCAAGTTTTTACTACAGTTGTTGTCGTTCAAACCCAAATGTACAATCTGTTTACAGGATTTCAAGAAACGCTTGAACCCACGAGCCTCGAATCCTCCAACATTGTTATCCATAACTGAGGAATTACACCACTCTAATCTCAGACAATGCCAAACTGGAAGACTGCTGCCCACATACGCGTGCTCCTTTGTGTTGGGAGAAATGAAGACACAAATGTTCTAACTTCAGTTTGTCCTTTTTTAAGAGCATAATTGTTTAAAATAAAAACTTTAATCACAAGAGCTAGAGCATGGCATTGCAGGTACTGCTGAAAATAACCAGTTGCATTTTTATTGATTTTTAAACTAACTTTTTTTTATTTTAGAAATTGAAAATTTTTATCAATTTATTTTTTAATAAGGATAAAGACCAATAAGACAAATTCTCAACACTCAGAATTAATTACTGGTATATTCTTCCTTATGTATATAGAAAATGTGTGTGTGTGTGTGTGTGTGGTGTGTTATACAAGTGATTGCAACTCATTTAACAATGTAATGTAAATTTTAACTCTTGAAAGTTATTATTACCAACTGTTTAGGATAATAAAGAAAGGCAGGTTAGCAATTAGTCACCTATTACAATTAAACATACTAGGTATGTTTTCAAGGTCAAAAAGAGATATATTTTAGACAGACAGGTTGCCTTTGAACACTTTAGAGATCTGCAGAATATGGCACTTAAGATGTTTTAATAACATAGGTTCTTTTTTTTATGACAATGAGACATGTCTGCTCCTGGCAACACCGACCCATGTCAGAGAAGATGATGGGCATGGAAGAAACTCCACATGGAGTTTACTTTCTTTGTGGGAAAAGTCAGCCACTGGGCAAGAAAGTACCCTTGCCCCAACTGCTGACAGTATGCTGTCCAAATTAGACAAGCAGGACCCAAAAGAGAGTGACTGCCAAACCTTGCCAAGACAAAGTGGAACAGTTCTTCAAAAATCCTGCTTCATAGAAAAATCTGCCAAATATTCTAGACCTGTAGGTCAAAGATGAATGCCCCAGCATTACAGAGGAACTTTGGGTGACTGTCCAGGAAGTCAGCTGTTTCTGTCACTTCTCACATCTTTTGGAAGTTGCTTGCTTATACTTTCTGCTTACTCAGGCAATATATTTCCTTCTCAGGTCTCTGGGGGAGTTTAAGACTAGATAGTTATTGTTATAGTTTTTCTTGTTTACCAGACTCCGAAAAGAAACTCAATAATGAGGTATAAAATGTATAAGGTTGAGAGACATTAAAAAATAATTTTGATAATGCAAATTAGAATAGAAAGTGAATTAGGTACAACCTTTTGGACTCATCAAAATAGAATAGGTATGTAGTATTTTCTCTGAATTTGTCGAATGCAAATGAACTAAACATTGTTGATGTATTTATTGCCTTATATATTGTACATAGTTTTTTTAACATTTTTTTCTTATTTTAGACAAAAATGGAGACTTGTGGTGATATTTCTTTGTGTTTAACAAATAAAGCTTGCCTAAAGATCAGAGTGTGGAGCTAGCCACTAGTTGGCCATAGAGGTGAGGCAGTGGTGGCACATACCTTTAGTCCCAAAACTTGGGAGGCAGAGGCAGACAGACCTCTGAGTTCAAGGCCACCATGGGTTACAGGAGATTGATCCAGTCTAAAAGAGAAACAGAGCTCACATCTTTGATCTCAGCACTTGGAATCACACACCTTTAATCCCAGCACTAGGGAGGTGGAAACAGGAGTGATAAGACTGGGTGGAGACAGGAATATAAGGCAGGAAGAGACTGGAGGCTATGGCATTCAGTCTGAGGATTCCTAGGGACAGGATCCGCCTTTGGTCTGAGAATTCAGTAGTGCTGAGAACTAGTGGCTGGCTGCTCTGCTTCTCTGATCTTTCAGCATTGACCCCTATATCTGACTCTGGGTTTTTAATTATTAAAACCAATTAGAATTTGAGCTACAAGTGATAATGAATCCACATTTTTCTTTTTACAAAAAAGCACATTGTTAAGACAACTGTCTTCTGTGTGTGTATCCAGACACACCTCTTCCTTTATTCCTGAGAAGTAGGCAGTATTGTAAACTTGGAGTATTTGCTTCTAGCATTTTCTAAATAATTCGTATAAGTGTATATGCATTTTCTAAGAAACATAATGGTGAGTGTGGCTTGATAGTGCAAGCCTGTAAAGCCATCACTCTGAGGTAGGAGAACTGGAAGCCAGAATCATTCTTGGCTGTTTACAAGTTCAAAGCCAGCCTGGGCTAAGGGAGACCCTGCCTCAAGAAAAATAAGAAAATAAAATGGTGATGTCTTTATTATGTGTGTGAATGGCAACACTATTTTTGTTGAATGTGTTCACTCACTTCTGAGCTCTACATGAATGTACTACATTTAATTACCCACTCCTTTGTGATGACTTGAGTGTGCCAGATTTTTGTCCTTTAATCATAAGGGACTATATCCCCTGGTGAATCTGTACAGATACTTCTCTGAAAAGATAACTTTAGGGCACATAATGTAACCATCTTCTGTAATACTGGGTACTAACAAGCATTCCCAGTTGTGTGCCATTTAGACACCCATCTTGAGTGTATGAAGCCTTCACCCTGCCCTCCACCAACACCAACAGCTCCTACTGGCCAACTGCAGATACTGACCTAGCTGAAATAGGTGATGTGTGATTTCCATTTATTAATGAGGTTCATTGCTCATTGTTGAGCAGCAAGACACCTGAATTTTCAGATCTTGTGAAATCCTTGACAACTCCTTTGTTTACTGAGTGGTCTACGTGATTGATTGGTGGGATTCAATGGTCAGCCCTCTTGTTCACTGGCTTTACCGCAAATGTTTACTCCCTATTTGCAGCTGACTTTTTAACCTTTTTGTGAATTATTTTGTCATGGTGAAGTTTTGTATTTAACAATTTCATGATGGCCGCTAAGACATCTCTCATTCTTGTTGAACTGATTACAAGTCTTTGGAATCTTCTAGAAGAGGTGGAACTAATGTATGACTTCCTGATTTATGGGTTGATTGCCATTTCTGAAGGAAAGCTTTCCTCTTGCATATTTATAGCATTTCCTTAAGGAACAAAGGTCATTTTATGTCATTGTGAAATGTTGTGCTGTGGAGGTAATGATTTTTTGATATCAAATAATAAAATGTTGACAGTGGTAAAAGCCTTATAATAGATTTTAAAGCCAGAATTGATTTTGCTTTTCATTGCATATTGCATGCTCTTTGCAGTTGTTTGTTCACAGCACTTCCTCTTAGGTTCTTTTTTTATAAGTTATTGGGATCTGGTAACTATAATTACACTGAAAATGAATTTAATATGCTTAAAAGTGTTTTAAATACCATCTCTCTTCAGACTGAAATTACAGCAGACTAGAGTCACTTCACCAATCTTGAATCCCAAATCTGCTGCCTGCAACGTGGGTTCTAGCAAACCACTTTAACTTGTTTGTTGGTTTCCTTATCTATAAGATGGGCAGTGACAGTGCAGACCTCATGGGATTGCTACAGCAGATAGAGCAACTGTGACTTCTCAGAGCACCCAACAGTGCCCCGGTACAGAGACAGCACATCAGGGTGGACAGCGTCTGCCCATCTGGTGTCTTTAGTTCTCATGAGTGAGAAGAAACAAACTTAGCGCTCCCTAGAAAGTGTGTTTTAGTGAAGATGAAGCTACCATCGCTGATGGTCCCTTTGTGCCATCAGTGATTCGGGAAATCCGCATTCCTAGGTTGGCTGAGCCATACATGGCTGTCTTTGACAGATAGATTCCCCACTGCCCATTTCTAGCCACCTAAACTTGGTGCTTTCAAACACAGTAAGCGGGACATGAAGAAAAACCCTGGGGATGGTAGCTGTATGTGGGGGGGGGGTGGAGAGATTGAGATCTGATAGAGAGATCTCAGATACATGGCCCTTTGCACGTCTGAGTGCATGTGTATCATATAGCGAGCTGAGTAAGATGTGTTTGGCTTCACTTCCCCCTCTAGATCTGTGGAAGCCCAGGCAGTGTATATGCATTTAGCCTCAGGCTGGTGGCCATTCTTTTTTTTTTGCTGTTTATTAACTGACAGCTAATAATGTACATTTATGATACTATATAATTAAACCACAAATGTCTTGCCACCTGTGCTTATTTTTTTAGGACTTTAAACAATTTCAAATCCACTTTTTTGAAATCAGCTTTTAAGGATACTCTACCCTGTCATTTCACTCCTGATTCTGTGGAACAAACACTGAAAGCATTCCTCCTTGCACACTGAAAGCATTCCTCCTTGCTGAAGCCTTGTGCCTTGTTCTCACTGCTCCCCTTAATCTCCGCTCCACTACCCTGCTTCTGAGTTCAGTTTCCAGTTGCCCATGAACAAGACCACATAGTACTTGCTTTTCTGTGCTTTGCTTAAACCACTTAACACAGTGTCTTCTGGGTGCATCCATTCGGTCACAAGTGGCAGGGTTTCCTCTTTTAAAGGCTGGGTCTAGTCTGTTGCAGATGTGCATCATTTCCTTACCCGCTCACTTGTTGATGGACACAGATTGCTCCTGTGCCTTGGTTCTTGTGAACAGTGCTGCAGTGGGCATGCCAGTGTGGCTATCTCTCTGATACACTGATTTCCATTCCTTAACAAAGACATGGAGTTGCTGAATGGTTTCAGGGTTATTGTCCATGATGGCTGTACTAGTTCACATTCACACCCTAGTAGCAGGCAAAGGTTCTTTTCACTACAGCCTCACTAACAATTGTGACCTTTCTTTGTGTAGTAACCATTCTGATAGAGAAAGGGGATCCTTAGCTATTACCAAGCATCTTGTCATACGATTTGCCCAGTTCCTGGATGGAGGATACCTGGAGCCTTGCGTGAGGCTTCCGTTTTGCCAGCTCAGTCAGGCACTGGAAGAGTATCAGAGTCAGGGAACCCTCCTCCCAACTTTCACTTCTATTTTTTTTAATACTAAGGAAGAAGCCATCATTCAAAATGGAGTGCAGCTAACATAGAAAGTAATACAAAAGAAGAATGGTGGAATGGAGTCTTCTCCAAAATAACTTTGACCATCACAGCTGTGTTAGGAAAAAAGACTAGCACACATACAACAGGGCCCCAACCACCTTCTCCTTGTCTTGATGGTCACCCTAGAGCGAGCACACCCTTTCCCCCAGCTCCCTTCCTGTGCACTGGTGGCTGAGCTGAAAGCATTACCCATGAGAGACAACCACTCACTGTTTCCCCCACTTCCCAGTATCTGCCTGGCCTGCCAAATAATAGCTT